GAGGCGATGAAATTCCTCGAGCTCCGGGTCTGTCTGTATACGGTCTCGCGTGACTTGTACCCGAGGAAAAACGCTTCCGAACACTTCGGTCACGATCTCCGCTCTCTTCGCGACACTCCCCCGATTCCGCTGAATCCCTTGAATACAGGTGGACACAATGGGCCCCGCCTTCTCCCGCCCCTTTGTCTTCCCGACCGTAATTGCTCCTAATCCCTTATTTAACGTGTTTAGTAAGACGTGGGTTAATCGGTCTAATTAAGGGAAAAAGAACTTTGAGCACCGTCTTCTTAAACCGGTCCCTTGTTGCTCGGTGAATTACAAACGTCTCTGACAGCCGAACAATTCACTGAACATTTTATCGAAGTCGGTTGACGTTGATACGAGTCACAACAACTTAGAGATCGCAGTTTTCTCACGATTTTTGACGCTTTTTTACCAAAAACTGTAAGAAATCGGCTGTTTCTTTTTGAGATCTTTCAACGCCCGTGCCTTGCCTCTGGGTTAACCGATCTCGATCAAATGCTCAGCTTGCATGTAAGTTACCGAGATCTACGAAAGGCATTTTAAAAATTTTATAAGATCAGATAAAAATAGTTAAAAAACGAGAGTTTTCTGTTTTGTTGTTGTTGTCATTCCAAGTATCGTTCCTCTATCATCTAGAAAAGAATTCAAGTCGTTTAGTGCAGTTTAAAAAAAAAAGGATATTGCGTTTTAAAACGTGCACGCACACTTTCGTGGGTCACTGTATGTACGGAAAAATGCGGGACGCCCTGTATACAGGATGTTCAACGAAACGGTCGCAAACGTTCTTTGTGGGGAAACGAATCGTAGTAGCAAAAAATCTCGCAAAATCTTTTTATACGATAAAAAAACGCAGGTCGCCTTGACTCTCTTAAATAGCCCTGCGTACATTGGACGTTATAACGTTATAGCTGTCGAAGAGACAAATTCAATCACCTATTACGCAATGACCTACCGGTGACCTTTAGCTTAGACATTCGCAGTAATTGGGAACATTTTTTATGTACGCATTAAATGAAACGTACACACTGAGGGTTATACCTTGTACATACAGAGATTACGTGTTTCAACGTAAATAATTCTTTTGTAGCAGATGGCACCCAAGGTGTCTAAAAAGATTCGATATTCATGAACGGACGAGTACCTCCGTCCTCGGCCCTCGCTAAAAGCCAAAGTAAGCACACGCAGCTGTAATTATAAAACCCGGAGCGTCGGGAGATTAGTTACGGCCGAGTTCGGGCCGCTCGTAATCTGGAATTAGGAAAAACAACCAACCGCTCGGAACGGCGACTTGGCAGCAGTATTCACGCATCGAGTAGCTCTGTTCTGTTACACCCGCGGACCGGCCATAATCTTAAACAAGTTATAAAAAGCCGGTGCGCTCCTAAAGTAGAGGGGTGGTAGCCTGCCGGCCTGGGTCGTGCAATAACCGGATAGTCCGTGGACTGGAAATTTCGCGATGTTCTTTTCGGCAACCCTCATCCCCTATCGTATCCCGGCGCGGCACTGCGTCTCCTCCGGTTCTCGCTTATTTTCTCGGTTCCCTCGCCAGTTCCTTACGTACCAAGACGAGAGGGCGTAGCGGGGGCCCCCGCTTAATGCCAATCGACGCTAATAAAAGGCGACCATTAGCCGGCGCCTGAGTATCTTCTAAACGATCATCTTCTTTCGGCGTGGGATGAGCTTGGCGCGGCTTCTTAGCCGAAACCCGGCGCTGGGTTCGGGGATAGGGGTTTGAACGAGGCTGGAACGGAGAGTTGCGCAAGGAGAACGGTGATGCTCGAGGGCGCGAAACGCGGGGAGATAGAGGAGGGAACAGACAGAGAACCGAATCCACTCCAAGAGCACTTTCCATCCCGCAGCTATACACTCCTCTGACTCGGTTTCGGGGGGGTTGGAACACCGGCGGTGGGGATCGGGGGTTAGGAGGATGGGGCCGAGGGTGCATACAGTGCACACCATCGATTGGTGGATGCAGTATAGCCATTGGATAACTGAGGCGCCGCTGGTACGGAACAGGAGAGGAGCCGAGAGGTTACTGTTCAGGGTTTGATCAACTGGTCTGCAGACCCTATTTCCTCTTACTATCAGGAGGAAATTGCCACTTCATCAGCTGGATAGTGCAAAAGATTAATGTCCGTCGCTCTCTTGTCATTTACACAGCCGACCCCGACCGACAGCCCCGGCCGCGGTTCTGATGGAACTCCGGGAAAAAGAACCTCCCTCTCCCTCCATCCCTCGTCATAATCCGATACTTCGATGCTGGCGAATACCGTCTGGACCTACAGGTCTTTCCAATCGAAAACCATCACGGATCGGTTGATGGTCGCTTCTTCCTCGCGAAAGCGCAATTATTTTGCCATAACATGGCGAAAGTATTTTCTTCTGTCTTGCAATGGGTAAATCTTTTTGAGATGTTCGACGGACTATCGTTAGGTCGAGTCATAAATTACTTCCGTTTCTTTATCAGACATTCATTTTGTTTATTTTTTATTTTATTTATTCAGAAGCCACCTTTATTTAGTGAAAGCAAGAACGCGTTTGTCCCGTTGTCTCGTAGTGGGTTGCCGCTTATCCGCGGGCACGTCCTTTTATCGGTGCGCTGGTCGAACGTTACAAACCTTCTTCTTTCGAATTTGTTCGTTTCGTTCGACCGAATGTTATAATGCCCGACAATGGTCCTATTGTCGTCGCTGCCCAAACATCGCGGCGCTCACGTTCGTTGCGTGGTTTTCATACGAAAAACGAAAAAAAACATAGCCTTACTTTCTCATTTTGTATTACTAGTACGTATATTTGGGTTTTTGTTGGGAAGAATAGTGAAAACAAAATGCAGGGTTTTGATTGTTCATAACCAAATTGTATAAAAATACGATTTTTATTTTCAATTCAATTCAGTTAAATTGAACATCCTCTCTATTTTCATGTTGCGAACACTGTTCCGAAACCAGTAGTTCGATTGTTTCTTTGAGAAATGGTTTTGATACTCGACATGAATGAACGGGTCGGACGTGAGCAAAAGTCTGCATATAATAAAAAACAATAATTTATAATTATTCTCATTGGTTTCGATATAGTTCAAACAGTTGAAATATTGATATTTTACTCAACCTATTCGAAACATCCGCGTAACTCGGTAGCTCATAGGTATCACGATATGCTTCGTGGCACATTCATAGTATGGCTCATCGTAATGCCGTTTTGGCATTATTGATTTCTCCAACAGCAGCTAATAGCAGCAAATTTTTATTTTGCTATTAATGTAAGGCATCACTCTTCGAAATGCGATCAAAAGCGAACACTGAACTCCACCGAACTCGTAATTAAAAAAATGAAATGAAAATTCAAGATATTCAATTGACTCAAAAAATGTGGGAGATGGAGAAGTGTCCTGTGACATAATTTGAGTACGTACTAAGTACATTAAATTCTGTAAAAATGATTTATTTTCGAAGAACGAAGTAATTATAAACGATGATATTATTCGATAATATAAGTTAAAAAAAGAGTTTTTATTTACTTCTGTTGTTCTATGCAATAACAAATTTCGTCTATTCCAGTTCTAAAAAAGTTACTGCGCTTTAAAAGGTGCTCGAATATTAACACGTTGGCTGCCGCGCGAATTTTACGTGACTTGCCCAAGGCGCCAACATGAATTTTTCATTATGCGATGCATATTATGTTGAAATATTATTTACAGCAGATAAGTTTAGTTGTATAAACTTGTTTTATGCATTTTTCGTGTGGCGCATTGTAATCAATTACAATTATTATAATATTATATTATTTAAAAATTTATGCGTATCGATGTTTACCCTAATTATGTATTTTAACTATTCGTCGCGTCGCCGGTCACCGGTGGCCCCCACGGCGCTGTAGCCAAGTCGAGTGCCGGTCACCGGTGACCCCCACGGCAGCCAACGTGTTAATC